TTCCCCCCCCCCCCAATGTCCCCTGGATAAGCTGCCTGTGGCTCCATCCCCCACCCTGCCCTGGCTGGGCAGTATCTATCCCTGTCCCTGTCCCAGTCCTGCTCTCTCCCTCACTGTGGGGGCCTTGATCTGCCTACCCATGCCCCTTCCCTCCCCAATGCCACTTCTCCCCCACAGATTTACTGGCCAGATGCTGCTCTCCAAGCTGCTAGACTACATTCCTGGCCACGTGCATACTGTGGTTGCACACATGCACATGGCATTCATCAGAGACATTTTTGGCAACATCAGCCAAAGAAGCTGATTGCCAATAATGTCAATTTTCCTTTTATTGGTGCCATTACAACATGGACCAATATATCGCTGCACCTCTAAATTATTCACATGCTTATGTGCTAGATCAGTGTCTAGATTAAGAGAGAGTCTTAAAACTGATAGGACTGGCTTCATGTATTAATGTATGTGTGGCAGAAACCAAAAGCACCCTGGTTGATAATGACTGCCTCATCCAGTGAATTTGAGAGTGGGAGGGGGAGAGCATCGTTGCCTAAGAAAATGCTTTAAGGCCATGTTAAAGTGCACTTCACTCAGTTCAACCTCCTGAGCTTTTAGAAACAAACAGTCAGTTGTGGAGTATGGAGATGAGGGAAGCTATATGCCTTTCTGAGCAGTAGTAACATGTCTTGGAGCAAGAAAATGTGAAGGATGTGGTGACAGCAGCAGCAGATTAGTTCATGCATTAGTTGCACTGCCAAATTTGTGACGCAGCATACTTATTGTGCATCTACATGCCCACTGCCCTTCACTCAGTCATCTGTACTGCAGGCATCTCATCCTTGGCTTAGAGGGACTCACAATGATGACTACTTTTTACTTCAGCTGATGGGCATAAACAAAAGACAGACCTTTGCTTTAGATAGCCAGTCCTGTCCAGGCATTCATGCAACAGCGTGTTCTGGGCTCTGGCCTAGATATATTACTCAAGCATCTCCCTCTCATCCTTGTACAAGTGAGAAGTCTGTAAATACAGGAAGAAGGCTAAAGATTCCTTTGTCTGTTAACTTTGACTAACATAAAAAAAATGAAATAAGAAATTAGGCAGGTGAGCTTCCATATTCTGTATGACAAGGGGCCAGTAATATTGTAATTTCCCTGCATTCCTTTTGGCCCATTTAATAAACCTCAACTTAAAGCATCTGTGTGCCCGAGAGAGACTAGGCTGAAGTGACCAATAGGATATTGGAGCTGACTATGTTTTTTTAATATGAATTTTGTTTATGAGGATCTTGCAAATATGGGTGGGGAGGTGGCGGGGAGTGAAACCAGTTCCTGTGTCCACACAAGAGGAGGTAAAGGAAATGCCATTAGAATTGTAACCTTATGAGGTGCTCAGTACCCGAGAAGGGATGCTTAGCACCTCCAGATCCACTTTTTCATTGCCTTCCATCTTTAATAGCTCACATGTGTAGAAAGGAAGAGCCAACACCCATCTGTCTGATCTATTGAAATTTATATTCATTTTGCTTAGTTGTGCAAGCTGAAAGGGATTAGGGAACTGGACCTATTGGCTTCTGAGAAAGCTTTACCCTTAGTACCTTGTCAGATCAAGCCCTATAGCAATCTGTCACGGAACGGGCCCTAGGAGCGGCCATGATCCCCCTAGCGCCCCCTACCGTGCCAAGTTAATTGTTTAGCACCCTCTGTCTCGCCTGCCACGTCTTGCTGTTATATATATCTTTAAGGGAGGCTGCCTTACTGTTCTCTATGACACGGTGCTATGTTTGTACTGGCCCATATCCTCTAAGGAGTGTCCCCTTGCACCCCGGCCTTATGGGCTATGCATGCCTCCAACCTCCCCTTTAGCACGCCCCAAGCCTTGCAGATGTCACGGACGTTGACTGGTCAGTTTGCTCTCCGCGCCCTGACTGGCGCTCTGGGCTTGCCATGCAACTGGTGCCTCCCGTAGGTGCTCTCGGCCTTGTCACAACCGACGTCCTGGCTAACGCCCCTGGGCTTGTCACACAACCAGCGCCCTCACTGGTGCTCCCGAGCTTGTCACGCAACTCGTGCCCTTTTGCTGGTTCCCTTGTATTCGCTAGCCCACTCAGGCCAGCCCCTGAGCTGGCTCCTTTAAGTTTCTCTCTAAGCTTACCCCTCTGGGCTTGTCTATACACTCCCCCGACTGGGTTTCTCCCCAAGTTTGCCCCTGCTGGGCTCCTCAATAGCTTTGCCCCCTTCCGAGGCTTCTCCTTGGGCTCTATCCCGCGCGCCCTGCCCTCGCCAGGCTCTTACTCGTGAGATCGCCCTTCTTCCGGCTCTTAGTCATGCGCTCGCCCCGCCACAGGTCTCCAACTGCACGCTCGCCCTACTCCGGGCTTTTATGCTGGCCCTCGCCCCTCTCTGGGGCTTCCTAGTAGGCTTCCCCCTCCTTTGGGGCCTGTGACGTGCTCCTCACCCTCTCTGGGGCCTGTGATGCACTCCTCGCACCCGGGGCTCAGGTGGCCCGTAGCCGTGCCTGGCCCCCTGACCCTTCTCGGGGTCCTATGCCCTAGTGGGCAAAATAGTGCCCTCATGGGCTGGGGTCTTAACACCCCACACGCGGCGCCAAACAGCCGTGCCTCCCAGGCACTGCTTGCTGTGCCCGACCAGGGCACCCAGGAACCCCCAGACTCCTGGGGAGCTCCCGTGAGGCCTCCTTGCACCCCTACAGCCTCACCCAGTCTTCCGGTGTAACAATAACAACCAAGAAACATAAAACCATAAGCCGACCGGCTACAACACAAATAAGCCTTCCGGCTGGTCTTACCTAAAGAAAACACAAGCCATGAGCCAACTGGCTACAACATACGCTCCACGCTGCCCTGGCTACTCCTCATCTCCACTGGGGCCTCTCCTCTCCACACCATTCTACAGACTATCAGGCAGTAGGGCAACCAGGCTGGTTTACTCTGCTTTGCTCTACAGCAGAGCTGTTACTCCTTTAGCTGCCAGAGGGGAACTGCCCTGGCCTCAGCCTCTTCTGTTTATATGGGCCAGGCCCAGCCCCCTGGCAGTCAGCTGACCCAATCAGCTGCCCTAGCAACCACCAGCTGTGTTGTCCTGTTGATTGGCAGCTAAGCCCTCTCACCAATGTCAGTAGCAGGCACCCTAGTGTCCTGCTACACAATGCTTTCCAAAAGCCTCCAGGTAGTAGATATGAAGGCCGCGTAAAGACTTAATTACAGCCATTATAGCACTTACCAGTAATTTTGCAAGTAGTCTTTAGCTTCCTAATGGATCATACTAAAATCCAATTACACTTGCAGTCTGGAGTGCTTGGTGAGTCTGAGTTTCTGAATTACATTTGTGACACTCAGACCATCTCTAGGAGAAATCTTGATGGCTCTTGGCTGTAAAATATACTTCTTAGCCAGCTCAATCACCTTGTATGTTTAGAAAACCAGTTAGTAAATGGGCAGGGCCAGTGGTAAATTTAAAGTCACAGAAGCATTTGTCTATCTCAGTTTTTTTTAGTCTTTTCCTTTTTGGTCTCATGAGGCTATTTATTAAAATCTCACTAAGGCTATCTATATTCTGGCATCTTTTCCCTGCATTGCAGACAGGGCTAGATGCAAAAATTGGAGACAGACATGATGCTGAGAGTTGCTATCTGAAGACTCTTTAGAGACATCCTCTAAGAGTCTCATTTATTGCAGAGGATGGAATTTCTTTCCTGCCACGCATTTTACTACAGAAATATCCACCTATTTCTAGAATAACCTGCTATTTCGAAGAGCATTTAGCTGCTACTAATATCAAGTAACAGAAGCACAGAGTCACATAAGTGAAGCATAAATAGAAAGGAACCTATAGCTGAAAAGTGTCAGCATTTTGTTGCTGAGAATTGGCAGGCCTGTGTGGAAATGCTTGTCCCAGGCAAGAAGCATTAAATTTCCAGAATGTCTTCACCTTGGCATCTATGTACAGTGTTTAGTTGTTTACTGACCTACATTTTTGCTTGGGGGGGGGGGAGCATATTCAGACAGTTTTATTTATCCCATGATGGGACATATCATTTGCAACAAATTATTTGCTTTGTTCAAGGCCTTATCTGCTCCAAAGTAGATTTACCAAAGGGGAGAACTTTTAGTGTTTTTGTCACTGCCCTTCTTTGGATATCCACTTGGAGAGGAGCAATTTTATCTCTTATTATCTCTTTTATCTCATTAGGTATCACTGATATCTCTCTATAAGAAGCACTACACAGAGTCCTAAATGTTTGTTAGGTCAGGTCATTAGACTGCAAGCACTTTAGGGCAGAGATCTACTTTCTGTGGCATTTCTTTGAAGTGCCTTCCTAGCACATTGGTGAAGACTGTGCATCGGTTAATGACTTCCGTTGAGCATTTTGTTCACTGGGGTTCTGTATTTCTTTAAAAAATGTGCAGCTGCACATATTACACATGTGCAAGTCTTCCAAGGAGGCCTGCTCTTGTGAAAAAGAGGTGCAAGAGGAAGCACAGCATGCAAGTTTTTCATATTCACTTGTCCTAGGTTATTCAACATGCCTGTTATCATGAGAAAGGATCAAACAGCCCATTTTCAGAGGGGAAAGGAAAGGCTGTTCCTTGGGGGTTTTCCAAGAAGCAGTCTTATTTGGTCTCCCTATCCTGAGAGCACTCCCTGCAACCAGCCCTAGAGTGACTTCCCAAGGCTTTGAGACCTTGGCTTTTCTCAGTCTATGGCTTCCCTGGTGATCTATAGCACTCCCACTTCTGGGAGCTACTTCTTTTCTGATCAGCTCCTGGGAAGGAATAAGGGTGTTTTCTTCTTTAAAAGAGCGTCAGAGTGCTGATTGTCTCCATAAGTATAGCAGATGCGGCTTCAAAACAAAGTTTTTATTGTGCTATTCCAGTTCCCTTTGTCTTCGCTTGGATTTTACTCTGTCCTCCCTGGGACCATTCCTTTTCTCTGCATGCCCTGGGACCTTTTCTCCCCTACCTTTTCTCCTTAGAGCTTCACTCATTCTCCTCAGGCTCAGTCAGTCACGCTTGTAACTAAACAGTTATAAAACTATTGTCTTAACCTGGGAACAGCAGTAATCCAATCCAATGAAACATTAAGTCATGGGGAATCAATCAGGAGGCAGTCTCTGGGCCCTGCTGCTAGGCCCAGACTTCCGTCTGCCCCTAGGATGAAAAGGGCATGTAGTTGCCCTATACAGAGAACTATTTACAAGCTTTATTTACAGTAAAGCCTGCCCACGCAGACCCCCCCCAAAGTGTTCTCCACCAAATCGACAGGCTAGAATCCAGCTCACCTAGCCTCCTTCATCACACTTGTTAACAGAACATAAAGGAGCTGTGCATTTTATAGACTGGCATGCATTTTATGTTATAGTTCCCCTTTTGATTCAATTGTAGCACTCACCTTCTTGCCAAGAGGTATCCTGATGGATCCTGCCTCAGGCGGGCGGTAGGAGTAGATGACCTCTGGGGGTCCCTTCCAGCTCAACTTCTCTATGATCTCTATGAACTCTCAGGCCCCTGGCAGATGTTACATTTTTCACATGATTAATGTGTTAATCATTAATAAAATAGTAAACTAGCCATTTAATGTGTAATATCTTTGTGGCTGTTTTGTATTATGCTTTAATTTTGACGTATGGCGTGTTAAGACTCTGCCATGCAGCCTGATGCCAATGTCATGCTGCATGGTAAGGCTTTAAATGTCCCCACAATGGGACAGCCCATTGTCTCTCCATGTGCAAGGATATCCCCAGTCCACAGCTGTCTGTAGTCTGGCACACGTACAGCTGGCCATGTAGCCATATAGGGAAAAATTTCTGAGACAATTGTCCTCAAATGGGCTTGGGTTCTTTCAGCCTTGTTGTCTGGCTTTACTCCCTTAGGACCCTTCAGCCAGTTCTCATAACACAAAACAGTAACCCTTGGTCCAAGCAAACAAAACAAACCTTCGGCCTTTTACCAGGTGGCACAAAAGGGCCCTTTAGTTCTGCCCTCTCCACAAGGAGAGTTCCTCTGGGTTTAGCCAGCCTTGTGCCTGCAAACTACTCCTTCCCCCAGATCAAGCTCTTTACTCTCTATCCTTGGACTTTTAACTGCCAGCAAATTACCCACAGCTGGGCTCCTACCCCAGGATTGTCTGCCTCATTTAAAGGACCAGACTGTACCATTACACCCCATTGACAAGTTGGTGGCACAGGCATTTGGGTATGGAAGAGCTCCCCTATGTATGCCAGTTTCAAGGTGTATGGGGGGTGGGCAGCTGTAGATTGGGAAGCTCTGTGATTCACAGCTCTATCCATATTTCAGACTTTTAAGCAGGGCGCTCCAATGAATTTTACCACAGATTCCAAAAATCTTGCATCTTACCATGCCAGATGCATATGACAGGATGCACAAGTTCTGGGATCCATGATAAAATTCATCTGATTGCACTTGCACAGAGCTGAATTAACTTCTGCCAGTGCCTTTGGATGCCTAAGAGCTAGGGCTGTGTGAAACAGCTATGTTTTGTTTCCATTTTGGATTTGGCTGTTTCGGAGGAGCGGTGATTCGTTTCAGGGTTTCAGATCATTGTTCCATTTCAATTCGGCTGAATCTGTTTCAGAGTTTTGGTGCTGATTTGGAGATTCAGATCGGCTGGGGAGAGGCAGGCACACGCAGGCAGCTGCAGGTTCTCCCACAGCTCCTCCAACAGTGCCTGCCTCTCCCCAGGCAGGGGGATCCATGGGAGAAGCTCCCATGGATGCCCTGGTTGGCCCCATCCTCCACCTGGCCCCAGCCTCCCAACACTTAAAAAAAAAAAAAAAAAAAAATCCCTGCACTCACCGGCTGTAGCAGCAGGGATCAGGGCCTCTCAGGGCTCAGGGCAAAACCCCCCACCCCCCCGCCGGAAAAAAAAGAAACCGGCCCCCCCCGGGCCACGGGCAAAACCCCCCCCCCCCCGGGCCCCCCCCCCCCCCTCGCCCCCCCCCCCCAACCCTTAAAAAAAAAAAAAAATCCCTGCACTCACCGGCTGTAGCAGCAGTGATCAGGGCCTCTCAGGGCTCATGGCAGAACCCCCCACCCCCCAAACAGCATAGGGCAGTGGGGGGCAGCGAGGATCACCCCCCTCCCACTTGGCACCCGTGCATCTTTATCCCTACTTGTATTCCATATGACTATAAGCTTTCAGCACATTCACAGTAGTTGCTAGCCATATAGTGTGCCTTTCCAGCAACAGAGGAAATGGCAGATGATTTGTTCCTTTAGTTCAGTGAAAATGGTTATGCACCAGTCATCAGATCAAATTACCAAGGGAAGTAGTTCACTATCTTCTTAATGCCTTTCTGCAAGATGTTTTAGCTAAACAAAGTTATTGGAATCCATACAAGGTAATTTGGTAAAATACAATGCCTATGACCCAAATAATGGCATCTTTACTGTCTAACACATTTGTTTTTTGTAGGTTTATTATTTGGTTCAAAGAGAGACTCCAGAATCCTCAAAGTATATGATTGACATTTCCCATAATTGGCAAGTTTCTTTAGGAATAGTTTTTTGATCCACATATGCATTTTTATGAATATCAGAGTTTATACAGCAAGCCAATTTTGCTGTCAATTTAGATCACAGAGATCAGCTGGAATGCTGTGGTTTCAGGTAGGGCAGAATTTGTTTCTGAATGGAAGCGTGATATCTCAGTGGCAAAATCTTGAATTGCACGTATGTGATATTCTACTTTTATGATTTGTTACATTCAACGAGTTGGCAAATATCAGTGGCTAGGTTTCAGATACAGGTTTCCCTCACCAACCACGGTTTTGCCAGCCACAGTTTTGCGTATCCGTGCTTAATATTTTATATACCATTTTGGCTACCACAGTATACAGTTTTGGGTAACCATGGTTTGCTGTGGCTGCAAATCAGCCCACCACCTGCCATTTCAAATCACCCATGCTCTTGCTAGTCATTCATGGGGTTCCCATCTCTTCACACACACTCAGTCTCACATTGTGCTTCATGCCATTAACATCCAGTTGCAGGTGCTCTGCATTTTTCACCCAATTTCTTTGTGATTTTTGCATTTTGCCCTTTATCATGACCTCTAAGGGACTGAGTGGTGAAGGTGAGCAATTTATGAAGAAGGCAAGGAAAATAATGTCCTTGGAAACAAAATTGGAGTTGCTGGATTGTCTAGCACATGGAGAGAGTGTGGCAAATATAAAAGATGATTTTTGTACACTGTACGTTCCTTTATTATTCATATTCAAGTCCCTAACCCCATTTTTCCAAAAAGCCTTTTGTCTTAGCAACCACGGTTTTGCTAACCTCAGAAACATTCAGGAACCCCTGCAGTTGGTGAGGGAAACCTGTAGATCTTTGATTACATTTCAAAGGCCTGGTTTATGAGTCACCTTTGGTTCTATAATTAAGTTTTACCTGACTCTTCATCTCCAGAAAAGCCTGTGTTCTTTCATGGAGTTTAAGACCAGAAGGGACTGTTAGTTCTAGTCTGACCTCCTGTGTTTTCACAGGCCCATAAAGCCCACAATTAGCCATGTAAGTGACCTAGACCCAAGTGAACCCAATACAGTAACTTGTATTTTGCTGAAGCTACCCTGGGTGGCTTGTTTAAAGGTGAGTAACTCTCACTGTTAAACCTTTGTGCATTATTTCTATATTGAATATGGTTTTGATCCACATGGTTGAACACTGAAATGTTTTCAGAATCTAGAGTCCAAACATGTCCTATGTGCTTAAAAATAGTCAGTAATATTATATGTCACTTAATTACCACCAGGGCCCAAATCTTATTTAGCCTATGAGATGTCTAAACCTGTGTAGGTGCTTGCGCAAAACATACCTCTTGTCTCAGAAGAGTGATCCTATTCCACTCTGGGAGCCACAGAGATTTTCCATTCTCTACATAGGCAGCCCTGTGTGCCTCTAGAACACATAAACACCAAGCAAAGAGTTGCCTATGGACAGCTAATGAGAAATGCTAGGCAGAGGAGGGTGCATAAGTTTGGGTGCCAGACTCAGAGTTGCACATGATATACCTTCATCATCTCAGGATGGAAATTTCCCTGGGTCTTGCTACTTACTCCTACTACTGATTATGCATTTTAGTCAATTAACGTTTAACACTTAAACAGCATTGAGCGCAGTAGCCAGAACTCCCTCAATGCACTACTTTCCTTGGTAATTAGATCCCACGTGCCAGGGTCGCTTGGCCACAGAGTCTCTTCTGGCTCCAGTGATTCTTGCATTTTTTATTTCCATTCAGTAGCTCAGTTTTGTTAGGAGGCCCTTGACCTTGCCAGAGCCTGATTAGGCAATTTCCTGGGAGTGTGTTTAAGCTCCTCAGGGTAAGTGAACCAAGGTCTATCAGGCCTTGAGGAAGTGCTCTAACCACTAGGGTGTAGGTCAAAAGTAGGTAGGGCCTCCTTGCTTTTTGTGATGTAGAGGCACCTATATATGTGCTGGACACCAGCTCTGACGCATGCTGATTAGCATATGTCAGAGCAGACTTGATTAATCAAGCCTGCTGGTGGAGCATGCTAATTAGCACATTCCAGCAGCGATCGCATCACATGTATTCAGTGTCCCTGAACTACAAAATGGTGGCAGGGGTACTTTAACCAAAGCTCTTTCTGGCGCACCAAAATTGGGCTCAGTGTATATACACATTTGTTTATGTGTGCGCCTGCATATAACTATTTTATTTCCATGTTCATATATTTACAGATAGTCATACATCATAAAAAAAAATGAAGAGAAACACTGATCTGATATGAATAAATTGAAAAAGGACATGGATAATTCCAGGTTTTGCAACTGGAAAAATGCAGGCTCTTGTTTCAAAGTAAGGCAAAAGCTGCTGCAGCACATCTGGAAAGTATCACAGCTGCAAGTACAGCCATATTTTAGCTCTTACTATTTCACAGTATATGGGAGGTTTATCAGTGCTCCTTTCCCCAATACACTAATTTAATTAGTTTGTGTTTCATTTTGAACCATTCTTTTTTTATGGTATTTGCAGACTTAGCTTTAAATTCAGACCATCGGTTGGACCTGAACATTTAGTTCAAGGATAAATATTACAAAGCAGAAAAGTTACTGCGTTACTAGTAGCTAGTTTTAGATAGAAGTTTTTATAGTCCTGTATGTATCCCAAGTCATGGCATCATTATTGCGTTCAGTCAACTATTTGCCTTTTGTGGTTTCTAAGAGAAATAATATAGTGATACATCACACTGGCTTCACATTGAGGAGAAAGTTAGTCTAGTGATTAGAACTCTACTAGACACTAGACTAGACTGGATTTTTAGACACCCAGATTTAGTTTTCTTGGGGCAAGTGTCCCTGTTCCTCAGTTTCCCACCTATAAAATCAGGATAGTAGGAGTTTCCTAATACCCAGTGATACTGTGAGAGAGAGGTGCATTCAGGACTGCGAGTAACCACACAGAGCTATATTAATGGGGACTATATAAGTACCCATGGCTAGCTGAGTTAGTGATGAATAGTTGTTGTTATTCACACACCACTGGTTGGCATATGTGACAAGACTGTACACCAGTGGCTTTCATCCTTTTTTAGACTTGGGGCACTTTTTGAAAAATGTCAACTCTTAGCTTTCACTATTTTTTTTCACTGCAGAATAAGAGAACAATTCAAATAACTCAGAAAGACCACAAAAGATCAGAATGTTTTTGACACTGGATTCCAGTTTGAAATCTCTGGGTTTATCTTATGAATCATGTGTATGTATTTGCACACCTAACCATGCAAATATTGTATGGCACCCTTATATGGATCTTGCGGCACCCCAGGGTGCCATATTACCCTGGTTGAGAATCACGGTGCATTCGTCTACATTCTTCCTGTGTTTTAGGCCCTGATTCTGCCATATAGTTCATGCAGACAGATTCCCTGTCCACTACTGTCAAAAGCTACTCAGAGCCTCTTTGAAGTCAGTGGGAATATTCACAAAGCGAAACCCTGGCATCATTAAAACCAGTGGCAAAACTTCTCTTGACCTTGAATGCAAGATTGGGGTGGGGGTGGGATTTTATTAATTTCATGTAAAAGTTGCACTTGTGCATAGTTTTTGTGATAGAAGTTTAAGGTGTAGATCTTATTCCACGTCCAAGATGTCTAAGTCTTTAACACCACTAGCACCCACAGTATGCAGCCTGTTCCATCAGGGAAATGCACAACTCTCCTAGTCTCTCAATAAGCAGCCTTGTACATCCCCCCATTTTGCCTGCTTGAGATGATTTTCTTGTTTTGGCAAGAGGGGGTTTTCTACTCTTTTTCAAGGAGGCATGTATCTCTCCTCTTTTCTCAGGCTATAGAAGTTTCTTCATGTTGGTATCCAGCTTGATGGCAAGACTGAAGCGAAACTCCTTTTTCTTATTTAAAGAGAGATGATCGATGTTTAAAACATCACATCTGCTTTTTATGACTTAGGGCGTTGGGCTTCTTTCTGCATCAAGCTCATTGGGTTAGTAAAAACAGGCCACCACAGGCTAGTTGTTCTGCAGCCTAATCCATGTTTTCAGCCATGCAAAGGGGTGGGCATGGAGCAGACAGGAGTTCTGTTTGCACAGATTTTTAAACACTGTTTCTCTTGAGATCAGGTTGACAAACTTTTTTTTTAAATACATTCTAAAATTGTAGCCTAGGTTTTTGGCTAGTGCCCAGCCCATAATCAGTGCCCTAGTGCAGGGGATGTCTAGACAAAGACAACAAAAGGAAGAGGGCCAGAGATTCCATAGATCCCTTACAGAGTGCAGAAGGCAATCTAGCCACAGATGATGCTGTGAAAGCTGAAGTATTTCATTACTTTTTTACTTTGGTTTTCACATATAGGGGTAGTTACTAGTTGGCAAGTGCAGTTGAAAGCAGAGATAGGGAAGGAGATAAACAGCCTAGAGTAATGGCAGAACAGGTTAGGGATTACTTAAAGAAGCTAGATGCTTTCAAGGCTGCACTGATGTCAGTGTAAAATAAAGTGAGCAGAAGAATGACCCACAAACCTTTTGCTCAATAGGCTAATGGTTAGGGCACTCTCCCAGTAAGTGGAAAACGGCTTCCAGTGTTGTGTATGCATTTTCTCCAATGACTGTTCTTTGTAAAATGCATTAATAACTTTGGGATCAGGTGCCAGAATTGAGAGCTTTCTCCTTGCCTCTCAAGGGACAGTCCTCTTCACTGGGCTACAGAGTCAGGCTCCAGCTTACATGTTCTTTTAACCAGAATTACTTTTGCATGTCTTTATGTATAGTGGCCCAGCTTCAAGAGGATAGGATCCTTACATTCTGCATAGCTGATGGCCTGGTACTTAAGGCACTTTTGTGGAAAAAGGGAGATGTGGGTTTCAACCTCCATAGACTGAGAAGGGCTTAGAAACCAGATCTCCCACTTTCTGGGAAACTGCTTGGTCAGCTCCTAGTCTACTGGGCAGAATGTGGGTCGGATTGCAACTGAGCTGAGGTGGTCTTTGGGTAATTCATTACATCCTGTAAGTAACAAAAATAATACAGTTAGCTTTTTAGAAAGATACCTGCTTTTTAAATACATTTTTAAAAGTTACTGGTTAAGTTAATTTGGCAAAATTAATAATCATTATATTGCTGATCCTGAAAAAGTTTAGTCATTATAGAATAGTCTCAATAGGCCTTTACAACCAAAGATAAATGTCTCAAAAGCAGTTATTGAGTATGTTTCTAGAATGACTTGCAAGGTTTTGCAGGCCTTTTCAATTTTGTGATGAAGCTTCTCAACCACCAGTTTACTCACAATTTCCCAACAGCAGGTGAAAGATCAATTCCTCTTTACTCACAGTAGGAAATAGCTGCTCTTTGTTGGACAACTGGAAACTGGTATGTAGCTTGGGGCAAAGTGGGGAGTTATACAACCTATGGAATTGAAAAGAATAATCACCACCATAAAACTTATGTGACAGTGAATTGGGCTAAGGTATCTGTGGCAGAAGGATTTCCCAAAATAATGTAGTAATGTAAAGCATATAAATGGTAAAGTGGGAGAATTAGTCTTAACTGGTGGCAGAGTATTAACATGTAATTTCACCGACACACTGGCATGTTTGTGTGCTTAGCATATTGTATGGAAAGTTACATCTCCTTTTCTTTTTGCTTGTTTTCCAGTGGTACTAAAACCAAATTTACCATGTAGTAGGCTGAAAACTAGTTTGATGTTATTTCCCATTCTATTTTTTTTTTTTTTGCTTTCTTCAACTGGAAATAAAGATGCCCAAGGCTTGTTTTTGTAGCCTTTGACCAATCTTGTCGCTAAAACTTTTAATAAGTATGTGCAACAACTATGAGAGGCATATGAATTGTTTGGCAGTCGGACCCTAACATGATATGCATGGAGTCCTTCACTTTGTGTTCAGAAAACACAAACCTTTTTTATATAGGCTGGGCTGGGATTATTTTGCCAAGCTAACTACTCTACCTTACTAGTTAGATAGGTGTTCTGCAAAGGTTATTTATAATGCGATTTGACCCACAGGCTTCGACTGCATGAAGAAAAGGTCATTAAAGATCGAAGGCATCACCTCAAGACATATCCCAACTGTTTTGTTGCTAAAGAACTGATTGACTGGTTGATTGATCACAAAGAGGCTTCAGACCGAGAGATAGCAATTAAACTTGTGCAGAAATTATTGGATCACAGTGTCATTCATCATGGTGAGTGAAACCTCAGCAGCCTCAGTGAGTTTGTTACTTTTTTCTTAGTAACCATGAAGCTATTCAGTGTAATTTTGATCCATGTGTTCATAGCTGTACAAGGTTCTGGTGGTTTTCTTGATGTGCCTGTGGCAGCCTGGGGATTTCCAAGTTGAAGGAAGTCCTTACGCATTGCATAGCTCTTCTCCACAAGGCTTCCTACATTCCAGCACATGTGAAGACTCAAGAGTGGTAAAGAACAAAGCTAGTAGCAACTTGACTGCATAGATCCATTCTTCATTTCCTTCCTAAAAAGATGGTGAAGTTTCTGTGGAGAATACCACTGCTGCAGTATAGACAGAGCTGCTGATCCTCTGCGGTGTGCAGGAGACAGGGCATTCGGTCTCCAATGGAGTATCCACTGCCACACTATCCTTTAGAGAATGAAGGGGCTGTGTATATTAGATTCATTGTCCCCAACTTTTGATGGCCCAGGTGAAGCAAAACTGAGAAAATACCACCTCAAGCAGCCTCATTTTTCATGCTTTATCAACCTCATTGTTAACTCCTTAATTTCTTGCATCCACAAGAAATGTCAGAAGGTTTTGCTGGACAGCCATGGAAC